CGCACCAAAACGTTAAAATATTGTCCTCCTCCTCCCGGAATGCCAATTTTTCTGCTGACGTGCAATGCCGTCATTGAACTGTAGATGTAGGCCTCTAATCAGAATGGTGCTGATCCAAAACTCTGGCCAATGCTGCTCACTGCTATAGTTTATTTGTATAAACTGGTGCACAATCCAGACAGGTTGCACACATTTAATATTGCAACATATTGACTCCCCGTGCTTTTGTTCATTTTTTCCTAACAGGGCAGAAAGGAAGAGCTCTGGTTTATGTTTTGAGAGCAAAGATTCCCCACCGAGGAGTGAAGGAGAAAGAGGTAAGTCTGAAAAGAATTTCCTGTCATTTGCATCACTGGCCCTTTACTTTCCTCCTGACTTTTACTGAATCCATTTTCCTCCCATTATTGATCCTTACTTTCCCCTCCACCACTTTAGGTCATCCGTACCCCAGCAGAAAATCCTCTTGCGAGAGTGTAGGCAAATGGAAATCCACCTTCTCCCCGATCTCTGATGCAGCTCCCAGCCGCACCCCTGACAGCCCCGCCTCATCCCCATGCTGCAGTAACCATTATTCATCTGGTGATGGGGCTCGTCGAGGTTCTGGGGGTATGAGTCCAGGGTCAGCTAGCAGTCTTGGCGAACACACCCGAGCAGACGTGGGCAGAGCACCCGAGGGCAACTTGTTCCTGAGTAAAAAGTTGGCATCTGATTGTGGAAAGAGAGAGGAGAGGGGTCCAAGCTCAAGAGTTGATCGATCCAAAGCTCCTCGCAGTCGGGAAAGGGATGGGGAGGGACGAGCAGGGAGCAACTTATTCATGTCACAGGGAACAGGGGTCCTACTGAATGGGAAGGGCCCTGGCTTGACACCCCTTCAAACACACCACCATCTCTTGAGCAACCTGACAACTGGCTCCCAGCTTACACTGCAGGGTGGCCTCACTTCAATGGCCAGCAATTCAGTACTGCAGTCTCTCTTCAGCTCCATGCCTGTACATGTGACTGGCCCAGTTGGCCGTCTAGCTAATTCCCATGGCATGGCCAGTTTCACATCGCCTGGAGTGACCGGTGGAACAGTAGGAGGTGAGTGAACTGCTCCTCCCAGCTAAGCAGCAATATATAGTAGAAATGTACTGCTTCTGCAAGAAAAGGAACTGTGTATTTGATGGGTTGTAAGTGTCAAATATTGTTGTACATTAGCCTTACTTAAAGAGCTTCAGGCAAGGAGTTTAATATATAGATTAAGTACACCAATAGTTTTACCTGTCAAATGATTTCCAGCTCTGTTAAACCATTCCTGTGAGTCACACATCCCTGCAAAACTACAGCTTAGGCAGTTTGCTACCTCTCTGCCTCATGCTTATTCATAAGACAACCTATCAGCATCATCACCTCTGCCCATTGAGCAAAGAGGTGACCTGACCTAGCTAGCATTACATCTGAGCCAAGAGTGATCTTGCTGGATCACTCTAGCTGTGTGTTGAATATTGTAACCCTGGTTTAACAATTGCAATTTATTTGGATGGAAGAATGCTAAAGAAATGTATTCTGTGCATTAGGCTACTTGCCTGGATATGCACTTACCAAAATTGTAGTAATCCATTGCATGCATATGAGTCATTTTTCCTACTTTGACTGTATAAACAGAAATTGGTTGCCATGGTTTATTGCACTTGTTTACGCTTTCCTAATAAGCACAAAAAAAAGGTTTATGACTTAACATAATGTTGAACTAAGGAATGCCCAACATAGCTCATGTGCATAGTGATTGACCATAGAGGGCATCATGTTAGAGAACATTTTAACAGGGGGGAAAAAAATAGGTTACAAATTGAGTCCATCCACTGAGAAAAGTATTAAAATCCGGGTAATGTGTATATGTGTGTGTTTTTGTGTGTCATGCTATTTTGTTCTAAATGTATGCTTACAGCTACTTGCTTACCGTTGAAATGCCCTTCCCCCCACCCCAGCTTCTTATTTACCTGGTTCATGCAGCCATGACCTGCCACTATGATCACAACCCACCAGCCCGGCTTTCCTGCCCAATCGTGTCTCCTGCCTGGGAAGTCTGATGCACAGAAGTCTATGGGGATTAACTGTGCAGATGTGGAATCAAGACCCAGACCAGTCAGATTGCAATGGGCTGCAGCTGTGGGAACCCTATGAGTATGCAGCTGGGGTTGGTAGTGATGGCAAACAGGTTAAAGCTGAACTCCAGATATAAAGTATTCTGCATACTTGCCTATATACTAGTCTATCTTGGCCCAGTGTAAGTATGTACATGATATACCTGGTTGGTCCGCAGGAATCCTGTAAAACACTGTAGTAGCTGAAGTTACTTCAGTGCTTCACAGTTAAAGTCTGGATCCTGTATGCTGCTGTGCTGAGTGACTTCACCTCTGCTCTGGTAACAAAGGGGCTCACTTGCTTGGCACAGCGGCCATTCAGAGCATTCGTTTATCAATGAATGCAAGACGTTCCCTATCTCTCGTATAGAGACAGATGGCACCACCCCTCGTCCAATCAGAGAATGCCTTGTATTCACTGCTAAAAAATACTAAGTGTTCTCTGGAAGGCCGCTGTACCCTAGAGAGCGACCCCCTGTGTTATCAAAGCAGAGGGGAAGCCTCATGGTACAGGACTGGCAAGATCATGGCCAGCAATGTACTCGAACCTCTTCAGTGCTTTACAGGCCAACTAGGTATGAAATATACATTTACACTGGTCCAAGCCGGACTAATGTAAGTATGCTTTATACTTTATACCTGGAGTTCAGCTTTAAGTATAGTTTCTGAGTAAGGGTACTTGCCTTTTCAATGTTTGAACTTTTTGTTGAGAAGAGGTTGTTATTTCCTGGTGTTTATCACAGTGCAGTGACTGGGAGTGACAGTGGGATCTCTAATGCACGACATCTGGTTCATATTCAGTATAAAACATCTTACAGAATGTTCCATCCTTGCCAGCATTGTAACAAGTCTGCTGTTTGTTCCCTGAGACTGGAGGTGATAGCTGATAACATTTAAAGAGCAGACAATTGAATCCACTTATGCATTCATTAAAAATCATTGTGTGTGTGTGTGTGTGTGTATATATTATATATATATATAATTTGGGCAAAAAAGTATTTAGTCAGCCACCAATTGTGCAAGTTCTCCCACTTAAAAAGATGAGAGAGGCCTGTAATTGGCATCATAGGTAGACCTCAACTATGAGAGACAAAATGAGAAAACAAATCCAGACAAATCACATTAGCTGATTTGGAACAAATTTATTTGCAAATTATGGTATAAAATAAACATTTGGTCAATATCAAAAGGTCATCTCAATACTTTGTTATATATCCTTTGTTGGCAATGACAGAGGTCAAACGTGTCCTGTACGTCTTCACAAGGTTGGCACACACTGTTGCTGGTATGTTGGCCCATTCCTCCATGCAGATCTCCTCTAGAGCAGTGATGTTTTGGGGCAGTTATCCCCTGCACAGCAAACTGGAAAGAGGGATGGTGAGCAGTTGCACAGTGCTGTCAATTCCTCTTGCTGTACATGCTTATAGGGAGAGAGGGATGACTTCATCAGTGTGCTCACCCCCTTATTTCCTAAGCTTGGCTAGTTATCAAGCTGCACTGCTTATCGGCTTTGGTAAAGATTGGTTACCAATCTATGCACAAGCGAAGCACACTTTTTTTTTTTTTTTCCTTTTTGAACCCATTTTTTTTTAGTTTCAAAATGGCCTGATGGTGGTGATATGTGTCTGAATGCAGTAATGTGTACTGGAAAAATATAAAATGCAGGTACATAAGAAAATGTTCCTTACTAACCCTTTTCTCTTCTCTGCAGGTATTTAATAATCTACCTCACTTGAATTCGCCTATGCAAAGACAGACCTGCTATTTTGTTCTTTTTTTTTGGTGTATTTTGTTGTTTTCTCCACCTTCCATCACACAAAAAAAAGAAAAGGTGCTCAACACAAGTCGAGGGCAATTTTGTTCCCCTCAATCCTTCCTTTTGTAGCTACCACTGGTTCAAGCTAAAATCACTTCATCTTTTACCAATTTCTGCGCTAGGACACACTTACCCTTATTCCACTGTGAATGAGATTCTTGCAACAAGATCCGGGAAAAACAACCGTACTTTTATTTATATTAGAGGTTGTTATTTTTTTGTATGCTTTTTTTTTTTTTTGTAAGTTTGTGGGGTTCTTTTAAATTTTTGTGGAGGACGTAGCTCAACAGATGAGCAGAAAATTGGATTTGGCACTTGAATTTGAGAGTCACATGAGGCATATGGCAAGATTTCTGTCACTATACCGCCATGCAGATTCAACTGGTGCTACATGTACAAGATTGTGCCTCAGTCAATTGGTGCTGTAAAGTTGCGGTGCTTTTTGAACAGTACACACTGGAACGTCTAGATCCATTGTGTCAATAAATGTGTGCTTAATTTATTAATGACTTCTGTACCTATGTTACCAAAGTACATTTTCCTCTGTTCCTAGTAAGATGACAGATGTCTGTCTGCTCAGAGAATTGAACGCTCCTCCCTCTCTTTGTTGTTGGTCTCCCCTATATCCCAGATGATGATATGGCAGCTATGTGTGTGATTGCAGCAGTAGGAATGGTTGAACTCCAGGTTATTAAGGCGCAGTAACTGTTGGGCCTAGAGTTGTTTGTAGATGTAAAATGGTGATGTAAGTTATGAATTTAAAGATCGTTTTTTTTTTTTTTTTTTAAATACTTGATTTCATTTAAACATAATTTAAGCTAAATTGCATACATATGCTTATATTGTAAATGTGTGTATATGACATTTGTGTATAGGTACATATTTATATGTATATAGATTTTAACATATATCAAAGTATGGTTATGCTGTCATGCATCTGAAACATCTCGTTAGAAGTTCTATCTGGGGCCAAACATTCACACTCTCTCTTTTCAGAACAGGGTCTTGTCATTCATGTAACTGAAGTCTGTAGCCGGACTTGGCTCTGAAGCCGCTTTTTTAGTTATGATAGAATAAATGATACTTTTATAAGACGTACAGTTTGGCCAGGCTTCAGACTAGAATGCAGACCCTGTGAACCTGGGACATGTATATTTAATACACTATTACTTTATATTGTGGAAACCCGTTTCCCTTCTCCCTCCTATTTTTTTTTTTTCTGTACATAGTCTTTTTTTTTTTCTTTCAGCAAGTCTTACATCTGACAGCTTGTCCACTTTTTTTTGTCACCATCCGATTGAAGGGAAATCTTTTACCAATATTTCATGTTTACATATTATTCTAGCAGCTTCCAATATCTGTGTTTTATTGGTATTTATTATATAGTGCTTAATGTCTAAAAGCTGGTTAAGGCCTTAAACACACAATTTTAATCTTACCTTGTAAACACTAGTCAGGCAAGCAGCAAATTTGGAGATTGGTAAATGGCCACTGTAAGTACCTAATAAAATGTCACTCATGATATTTCAATAAAGTTCTAAGGTAATAGCACGGTGCGATGGGGTTGTACCGCGTTGTGGCCCAATGTGCTGCATGGAGTACTTTTCTTCAACGCACACCACAACACGGTGGTGTGGACTGTGCCCATCCATGACCAGGCAAATTGCCTTGCCCTGCATTGTTAACCAGTGCAGCCCCAACACATTTGGTGTGAATCAGCCGTTACAAAGCATTTAGCTGCTCCTTGAAGCCCTTCTAAAGCACTGTCACTGTAATTTTTTTTTAAAGCTCTCTGCAAAAAGTAGTATGTTAAAGGATCTAGGTTCACCAAAGAGTTTGCATCCAATTTACACGTGTATCAGGTGCCTGGTCCCCCCCGCTGCCCTCTGTTTCCACCTACTGACCTTTATGTCACTACTGTGTCCTGGAGCGACACGGGCTGTTCAACCTCTTCCTGGCCGTTGTAATTAAAGGGCCTGGAGTTTCTTGAATGTGACTGGTCGTTTAGACATACAATTTTTTTTTAAAGTCCTCCACACGCGACTGCTGCGCCTATGTGTGAAAATGACGGTTGTGCCACCCATATTACATATTGTCTTGAACGTCAGAGTGAGGGTAACAATTAATATTAGTAAAATTAAACCCGCAGTGGTGATTAAATACCACCAAAAGAAAGCTCTATCTGCCCCCAAAAAATTGCATATAATTCATTTCAGTACAGCGTTACATGACGGAATAAACGTCCAAGTACTGCAGGGCTGAGAAATGGGCTGGCCAGGAAGGGGGTATAAACACCTGGTCTTCAAGTGGTTAATGGAACCACAGAGGCAGGGGGGGGGGATCAAGCACCCAGAAGTGTGTCAATGCAAAGATTCTTTGTGGCCATGGATCCCTCAATATAGTGCCGGAAAGCTTAAAGACAGTAGTGTTTAAATATGTTACGAGCTCTGCCTGGTTCTGGTTGTTTCCTGTAGTAGTTACTGCGGTTACTGTTTATATTTAGTAAAGCTGAAAATAAAATTCCTTTAACAAAAAAAAATATAAACATGAGTATGTTAACAGGCTGCACAGGCGTGATCCTGACCATATGAAATGCTGTCTGTAGCACGTTTCTGCAAGTTGGAGAATGTGATCCTAGTGAGACTGGCATTTGCAAGTTAAGATTAATCCTTGTGTGTTTAGATCCCAAGGTTGGCAACTTGTTTACATATGCTTCCGTTCGATCCTTCCAGCACAATATTCCTTCAGGGCTGCTGTATGAGACTTACAATAATCACAGCCCTGGAGTTGCCAACAAGGGCAAAAGACAACTTGTAAAGTCTGCTTAAGATCCTGCCCTTCATTCAGTTTTGCTTTGCTGTTTCTACCAAATTACGAATTGATTTTACTTCATTGATGTCTTCACACAAGTGGGTTTTCTTTCTTTAGTATCATACACATTACATTCTTGGCGTAAACTTCAGCAACACTTGATGTCATATTTACAAGAATACCGACTTTAACATACATTTTCCTGTATGTGGTTTTTAATTGTTATTGACTCCTTTCTCAGCACAGTAGAATGGTTTTAAATATTTGCATATTGGTCATTCGGGCTGGTGGATTGATGTATGGTTTGACGATCAGAAAAATCTTGTACCAATAAAATTCATTGTTTCCAGAGGTGCTTCTTCCTAAATGAAAGTGTGCATCAGGCAACATTTCCTCTAGTAATTTATCTAATGGAATGGTGCTTTAAAATGTATGCCTGTTGCTTTGCTTTCATTTTGCTCCTTCATTATGCATTCTTCCACACAGTACAGTTACGTATTTTTACTAACATCAGGGAAGTTGGTTTTCTTTGCAGCCTGGAAGAGAAAGCCTTGCAATGGAACTGTACTTGTTACCTTCCAACAGTTGGGAAAGTCCTAACATGCTGGACATTCATGTTTTATAATATAGAAGGTTTACACGAGTATAAACCAAACACATTTTTTTTTAGACACTAGTAGGATCAAAGTATTAAAAGATATCTGTTTTCTGAATTGTTAAGCTCGTTAAGCAAATGAATTTGTATGATGTTTGAGCTTGTTCAGTCAGACCAGTGCAAAGAACAGTAATCCACAGCAAGCAGCCAGACATCAACTAATGGCTGATGTGACTTTAAATCTGCCTAGCGTATGTGATTGCTGTAAGCCTTACTGAATTTATCTTCTACACATCATGTCCATTATTCATAATTATGGCCGAATAAACCTTACACAGAGCCTTATTCACCAAAACCTAAAGTGAAATGAGTTAAGGAAGGTGAACTGAATTGTCATTTAAAACAGTATGATGATAGATTAAGTAGATCTACATTCTCTGTAGATATCTTGTCACGCACAAGTGACTTCAGACAGCCAAACGGCAAGTATTTTGGAAGTGAACATTAGTTCACCATTTATTGACTTAGATCCGTTACCCTTTAAATAGGGCCCACTGTCTTAATACATTTTTGTATTTTGGCTGGAATCTTCACCCAGATAAAGACTGCACTGCTAGATCTTCTATTGTGCAGCTTGGGTCATACGGAGCGTGAATAGTTAAGTTGGGCTCCACCATTGGAATTGCCTGTGCAGGGGCTGTTGTGAGTAAAGAAAAAAAAAAACAATTGCATGCATATAACATTTTAAAAAGTGGATGTCCCTTTAATGTTACCCAGATAAAAAGATGTCTCCTTACACAAGGTCACAGTTTGTTTCCTTCCACGAGACCAGGGAGGTGGCTTCAATTCCCCCCCCCCCCCCCCCCTT